AAATGAGCGATGCATATGCTAAAACACATATTGTCTGCTATATTTTCAGGGATGAATAAATTAATTATATTTTTCCTTATAACCGTATTGTAAGCCAGGTCGGCTAACTTCCTACGCACGCCGCCTTGTTTGTTTCGTGCCACGGTTACGCATAACTCTAAAGCAGAATCTAAACCCACGTCTGTATTGCTTTGAACAGCACGTTCGATTTGAGCAACAAATATACCAACGTTGTGGTTATTATTAGGGATTAGAACAGCATTAATATCTGTGGGGAGACTTACTCCTTGCAGCGATACGTTCAAAAAACCATCTTCACCCACCATCAATATGGAAAACGCTACAATCTTATCTTGCAAAAAGATATTATAGGCAGCATAATCATCAGTGGCGATTTCACGAAAATTTAAAGTTCTTTAAAATCGCTAAACCCTTAAATCTCGGTCTTGGGACAATTGTAAAATCACCCACACGACTCTTACTAGACTATCTTTACAATTCTGGCTGAGACCCATATCTGGTGCTGCTGGGTCATAACCTGTTCATTGTTGTTTATAGATGCGCCCAACCATTAATGTTGTTCGTCTACAAGTTCGTGTAATCTTTCCATCATGTTAAGCGAGTCAGGCTGATCAACTCGTTGTTAATCAGTTATTAATCAACTCGCGTAATTGATCACTATTGTTTTGAAAATCATGTCTAGGCCTTAATGATCTCTGATCATCTTCTGAAGTGTGGTCATGTAAATCACCGTGACATCTTTTACTGCTCATTTTGAATTATTATTATTTTTATTTTTAAATCAGTGTGCACCCCCTGAAAATACCATCAACGTTTGCAATGTGACATAACCAGATATAACAAAAACAAAACATGAACAGTATAAATTTGAAACCACCGTTTTCTTCCACAAGTAAAATAGTATCAGAAACAAATCTCAATAATAAGCATAAAACAACAATAAATCGATGGCAAACAGTAATAAATGTAAGAAATAACAAACAATAATAAATGTGTGAAATAACCTATGCTAATAAAAAACGATGTCAATAACACAGGAACAAAAACAAGCAGCAATTCAATACATAGAATATTACGTCCTATCTCCCCATACAATTGTACAAATCTGTTAACATTCTCTGGATAAGGTTTAAACGTTCACCCATAAGAGATAAAGCGTTTACCACAAGCCTTTGCTCGGCGTTCTGCTGGTTTCTCGCTTCCGGTACACCGCTCATGGTCTGCTGAAACTGGTGGAATTCGTTATACAGGTGATCGTGACAACTTCTCCAAAATTCAGCTGCGCACAACCATACGCACATATGACCGTTTGAAGTAGGTCTGATGTAAGTCTCACGTTAGAAAATCAAAGAGATCTATTCTCTTGCTTGTATTAGGTATAACTCATAATTGCTTGTGTGTGTGTGTGTGTGTGTGTGTGCGCGTACGTTTTAAACTTGACAAAACGCTGAGTGAATAAAGATAACAAATTTAACTAAAATGAAGTAAAATGGAACACAATTTCCCTACATCACAGACCTTTTGTTTGTTAAAACAAACACCTTTGCACCAAACTATTTAAGTTTGTTGTTATGGTCTTTTCTCTATCTATCTAAGTGTATCCGGAACCTCTGTGAAATCACATCCACCTACATTAGGCTATTAACATTCCTGTTTTTCTTCTTAACCTAACCAGATGTTTGAGGTTAAAAAGGGGATTCATATTCTTTGACCAGATACTGAACTTTTTACTAAACGTTTGACACTCGCAGGGGCATGTCATAAATAACTGCGTTGGTGATCCTTTGATCACTGAACTGATTACTTGACACAACAACAAAGTTCACAACGCCAGATCCTCAAAAACTCGTTAGATTGCAAATGAGTTGCAATCCCGGAGCATTCCCTATTTTTAAAAACGCTGCAACAACATAATTATTTTGTAATATAATGTTTTGGTCTTATATTTAGTAGGAATTGAATTTAAAATTAATCTATGGAAAAATAAGAAAATTAAAATCATATACACACACCCAATCTTATGCAAGAAATACGAGTCATCTTAAAGAGTAACATACGCTAAGTTTTAACAGCGTAGGTATTTTCCACCGTCGGACATCACAAGTGTGTTGTGGCGTACACTTTTTCATTTAGCTTAATCTGTACTTTATATGCACAATTAAATATTCTCAGGGTGAAGACCTCACGTGGGCTGTTTCATTCAAGTGTGTTTACAACCCCCAAAAATCAGCAGGTATCCTAAGAAATACGTATCATGGTGCAATAATCATTTAAAATATGTGAAATAATTTATAAATATATGTAATTGTAAGGCAAAACATGTTTGAAATGTTATGTTTGTAAGTTGATGGTGGATAATGTAGAATGTCAACTGTTAGTTCGAATAATTAACATAATTTAATTCAATTAATAATATAACAATATTTTAAGTGTATTTTTTTAGGCTTCATTGTGTGTGTGTGTGTGAGGATATTTAAGCTTTGAAGATTATGCTTAAAATAATATACTTTTAAAGAATCTATAGTGTTTGATATGAAATAAATCTAATATAAATTATACTTTATTGAAATTTAAGTACCGCCGGACATCAGATGTAGGGAACTTTACATTAATGTTGTGCTTTGAAATACATGTGGCACATTTGAACCATTCTTTTAAATCATCTGTCTGGAACTCCTCCCTCACTGTGAGGGGTCTGAAGCAGATCCTCAGTTTCACATATAGGACCTGTGAGATTTTGTTTATGATTCAACTTAAACATTTTTATTTTGTTTTATTTTATTGTGGAGGCACTTCATTCATGTTTGGACATCGTTGAGTAAAGTTCTATCTCTTAGCACTCTAAAAAAATTTAAGGCATCATTTTGCATATTTATTGTGAGCTAAAACTATATTTAATGTTTATTTTATACAGCTTGTTAGATATAATAAAATTTTTATTTGCTACTATGTAGGATTTATATCGAACAGACAGATACGCCTTATTGAATCAACTCATCACGAGGTCTAAACTAATCATCACTATCACGTGATGTCAATATTCTGAGTCAGTTCCTGTCAGCGCCTCGTCGTTATCTATTTAGAAGAGGGATAAAATCTAACTCAATCAAGGAGAAGGACAATAGATCTTTTCTTACAACAGGAGAAGCACTTCGTGGGTGCAATGTATGGTCCTGTTATATCCAACCGGAAACGGACGAGTAAATTAACTGACGCCCTTAGGCCTGCAAACACTGGATCTACACGTGACTATCCCATGACTCTTGACTACCAGCTTCCTGCCCTTCTGCTACCCACACAATTTGAATGTGTCTGTCTTCGAACGGTATTGAGTCACACATGAAACAATCACAATTCCATTGAGACAAACTGAGTAGCACTCTATGCAGCCCTCTGTGGTCGTAAAACTCATGCAGGGTCAGTGAAGTGTCTCAGAAAACAGTGCTTAAACCCTAACTCACCCTGACCTTAATCTTTGCCTTATAACTTTTCCTTTTAGTTATTACGATTACTGTGTATGCAAAATACCTGTTATTTGAGCTTGAATGAAAGCTTATTTTATGTGAGAAACTTTAGTATGAATGAGAAGTGAGAAGTATGTACAATATTCGCATTAGGAAACTTTATAGAAGTAGCAACCAAATCTTCGCAAAGATTTTTCTCCACATAATAAATTGGAGCCTCATGTTAATGAATGTAAGCTCCGCCTTGCAAGAAGTCGATTTGAAGATCGCGGGCCGGGCTTATGCCGCGGATCAAAACCCCAATGAAAGACAGACTCGAGTGCTTGCTTGCTTCTTCACTTTTCGCCGTGTTAAGAGCACTCCAACTTGTGCTCACACGCTTACCATCAAAGCGATCGGTCATCTAAAACTCAAACACTTCAGTTGAACTTCGTGACTGTCAGAGATCTTCAAAGAACTTAAAGTCTTGCAAACTCAGACTTTTCAGCAGAACTGCTCAAGCCTCTGCGTCATCAAGAAACCAACCAATCTCCAGAGGGCTTCCCCAAAGGGACGCCATCCTGACTTCATCTCAGTAACCAATCAGCAACGGAATTCCCTCAAGTAGCCAAACAAGGAAACTCAGCTTTTCAGCTGTCACCCAAAAACGCAAGTAAACGAATACATCTTATCTCTGTTGAAGCTAATTTTAAGCAGTAAATATAAACCAAATCTCTGCTTTGTGATTTTCTCAGGTTGAATGTAAGAGAACTGTAGCGAATATCTTGCTAAAACTTTGGGCTTTCCTCAGAACTCCGTTAACATCATTTTTATTCTTCAGAACTGTATGTATATGTGTGTGTGTCTTTTATCTTAGTTTAATGTAATCTAGAATAGCCAATCAATTCGTGTTTCATTTATAAAGAATCATTGTCTGGTGTCGTATAATTTTAAAGTCAAACCTTGCCAAGATCACGTTACCTCGCTAGGAGTTTACAAATTATCATAATTGTATTGACCTGTGGCCAAGGAAAATATAATATTAATGACATCAGTAGATATTCCGACTTTAATTAATTATGGATTCGAATTTTTTATTTCACTTCATAATTAATTACAGATTTTGAATTTTCATTGCAAAAGTAATTTCAGTTCCTGCTTTCACATAGCAACAATATTTACTGATTAACTTAATTTTGAGTGCTCTCATAATCTAATAACAACAACACTAGGATGGTTAATCATTAACTATCTATAGGGCTCTGAAAGCTTTCGTGGCATTTGTAAGTAATTAGGCTACTTACGAATTAATTTAATTAGAATTGCTCTAATGGTTGTAATAACATCAGTAAGTATTAGTAACTGGTTATCCTTAGGGATTCAAAGTTTCTAATTTAATTTAATAATTAATTACATATTTGGAATTTTAATTTCATTTAATAATTATTTACGGGTCCGGTTTCCATATTGCCCCAATATTTGCTGATCAGTTCAACTATAATTGCTTTGCTAATTTTAATGACAAACAACATCAAGATTTTAATCCTTAACTGTCAATAATGCTCTGAAATTTAAATTTCATGGTTACCTCATTAGGGTTTGGGTTATCCTGCTTCAAGATATTGATTGATTAATCGTGATTTTAACTACTCATCAATTTTAATGATAACATCATTACATTTTAACCAGAAAATACCATTTCCAACTTGAAATTCTAATTTCATATGCAATCAAGTTCTGCGTCTACCTGCTAGGCCTTCTTTCCTCTCTCCTTCAGTTATTTAATTAACTCAGCTAAATTTTTATAAGTTTGCCCGTTTGGTTTAAGCCTGTTAAGCCTGCAAAACCCCAAAAGGAAAATTAGGGTTTTCCGCAATACTTAGGTCATTTAGTCTCCTGCTTCAAGATATTGATTGATTAATCGTGATTTTAACTACTCATCAATTTTAATGATAACATCATTACATTTTAACCAGAAAATACCATTTCCAACTTGAAATTCTAATTTCATATGCAATCAAGTTCTGCGTCTACCTGCTAGGCCTTCTTTCCTCTCTCCTTCAGTTATTTAATTAACTCAGCTAAATTTTTATAAGTTTGCCCGTTTGGTTTAAGCCTGTTAAGCCTGCAAAACCCCAAAAGGAAAATTAGGGTTTTCCGCAATACTTAGGTCCTGTTACTAACAGAGCAAAAAAAAATACCAACCACTTAGGGGTATTGACCCAACAGTGCAACTCCTCTGTCAACCCTGTCATTTTTCCTAACATTCAAAGTAGCTTTTCTCTCCTTCACTCTCTCTCTGCTGTCTTATTCAGATTTGAATTCATATGCAATCAAGTTCTGCGTCTACCTGCTAGGCCTTCTTTCCTCTCTCCTTCAGTTATTTAATTAACTCAGCTAAATTTTTATAAGTTTGCCCGTTTGGTTTAAGCCTGTTAAGCCTGCAAAACCCCAAAAGGAAAATTAGGGTTTTCCGCAATACTTAGGTCATTTAGTCTCCTGTTACTAACAGAGCAAAAAAAAATACCAACCACTTAGGGGTATTGACCCAACAGTGCAACTCCTCTGTCAACCCTGTCATTTTTCCTAACATTCAAAGTAGCTTTTCTCTCCTTCACTCTCTCTCTGCTGTCTTATTCAGATTTGAATGCTGCTGCTGTTTGCTGGGATTTTGCCTGTGAAAATCATAAAGCAGAGATTTTTAGCAATTGAACATTTGAACGTTGGTTCAAAATTGCCTTCCATTTACCTTCCACTCTCTTGCGAAACCCTAGCCAGCTGATAGGCGTCCGCCAGTGCAACTCCTCTGTCAACCCTGTCATTTTTCCTAACATTCAAAGTAGCTTTTCTCTCCTTCACTCTCTCTCTGCTGTCTTATTCAGATTTGAATGCTGCTGCTGTTTGCTGGGATTTTGCCTGTGAAAATCATAAAGCAGAGATTTTTAGCAATTGAACATGTATTTATGAAACTTGAGAACGTTGGTTCAAAATTGCCTTCCATTTACCTTCCACTCTCTTGCGAAACCCTAGCCAGCTGATAGGCGTCCGCAAAAATTTGAACACGCATCTAGGATTTTGCCTTGTTTGTTTTGTTTTGTTTTGTTTTCTCTTCTTCAAGGACTGTGTCAGTCTAGGTTCTAGATCTCCCTCACCGCACCAAAACATGTCTCGCACAACAGACTCTATTGGCCACTGGGAAGACCTCGAGACATGGCTAAGTGTTGCAACAGACAGCCTCCTACCTAAGGCCGCTGAAACACTGAGGCATCAGACATCAGCCAGACCAGCTGGATGACAACATAGCAAACCTCACGAGACAAGACTCAAGTCAGAGCTACAGTCACAAAGAGTTAGCCAAGATCACCGGCTCCTTAAGTCACACACTCATCGCCACGCCTGGAAAAGGCAAAGGCCGACATCAGAGACAAGAACGGCCAAATTAAAGCCCTTGAAACTCACCTGGATGAGTCAGGAAACAAGATCAGTCGCCTGGACTACATCAAAGAGAAGTCCGACAGCATCAGAGAGGAACTCAGACATGCCTACGAGCTGCGCCCTGAGCCTGCAAGGACCCGACGGGCACCAATCTCACCCCTGCCAAGCAGGACCGGGTCACCTGTTCCTGGACTGACGCGTGAGCAAAAGGGGGAGGGGGCAGTGCTGAAACAGTCACCAGCTCCCTCTGAAGAACTTTACCTCACGAAAAGCTAAAAAAATTGCTCCACAGATCATCGTATGACTTGGACCTCAATGAACTCGACAAGCTCGCTAGAAACATTGGCAAATTCACCCCAAGTGTGCCAGGTAGCCAGGATGTCCAAACTTATCTGCAAGACGTCGATTTCCATCTGGAAATGAGACCCAATGTCACGGACAAAGATAGCCTCTATTTGCTCTGAACAACAGCCAGCCCTGACGTGCGCACATCAGGGCCACCTCCTCCGAGAAGCCCTCATTAAAGAATTCTTCGACCCTGAGTCAGAATAAGGACTAGTGGCTGCCCTGAAGACGAGACAAGGACGTCATGAATCTCCTCAAGCCTACTACAGCCGACTCAGATGAGCATACTCGCAACGAACAAAACATGGAAGACGATCTAAATTTCAAAACTCTCTTCCTGAGAAACCTCCATCCTGGAGTAAGCCACCATCTTGGCGTTCTCGCATGTCCGCGAACAACGAATGCTCAACAGTTCCGAGACTTGGCGCATAACGCCTACGGCAAACAAAAGATGGCCTCAGAAAAGGGCGCCAAAACCCCAGCAGTTCTTGGCTTCAACACTCAAAGTCAAGGTCTGGCTCTAGAAGGCGCCCAACACCAAGACCATGCCAAGCCGCCACACAAAGAGCAGAATACACCCTCGTCCAACAGAGAACGAGACTCCCATGCTGGTACCCGACCTAAACAGAGGAACAACCACTGGGATGGACCGCGTGGACAACAACACTCACCTGGACGTCACTGGGAAAAATCTTGGGAACAATCCAGACCTCGTGAGAATCAATGGGACAGATCGTGGAATCAGACAAACTCATTTGGAAACTCAAGAGGAAAGCGACAAACACACTTGGAAGCAACCAGAGAAGAAAATATGGGGGACT